TCAAAACCGATTCTAATTGAATTGATCCTCATCCTAACGAAATTCATTTGATTGATACATGTATCCACCAATTCAACATAGATACAAGATTTTTCATCGAATCGTTGATAAATGGATTCAATTTGTCTCTCAACCAAATTCTTATCGAAAAACTATTTTTCAATAACTTGTTGATCCCTATCCCTCTTCCCGGATTTCCAGATTGATTATCGTTTTTTAATTTCCCGGCTTAGTGTGAGATAGAAATATGCCCACCGAATCCTTCTTAACAATGAATGAAAGTGAAAGAAATGAAGTTTAACCCCCTCGCCTTTTTTTCCGGCAAACCAATCATTCCCCGAAAGGCTCCTATCTCTCTTTCGTATTCCTTTTTTTTCTATTTTTAGAATTCTAGAGTGGCGATTGGAATGAACAATTTCAAAACGAGAATGATGAATCCAAAGATTCTATGGAATTATGAAAGACGGAAAGATCCTTCTGATCGAGTCATATCATTCCATTATATTGACAATTTCAAAAAACTGTTCATACTATGAACATACTATAATGGCGGTCGGGCAAGTATGCCCCCATCGTCTAGTGGTTCAGGACATCTCTCTTTCAAGGAGGCAGCGGGGATTCGACTTCCCCTGGGGGTAGGGTACTACGAAAGGAAGTTGATCGTGGATTATCAATAAGGACTTAAATTGATTTTTCCTGGGTCGATGCCCGAGCGGTTAATGGGGACGGACTGTAAATTCGTTGGCAATATGTCTACGCTGGTTCAAATCCAGCTCGGCCCAATAATTCGCCGATCCACCATGAGATGATGTAACCATTTGTTGTTCTCCGGAAATGCCCAATGAGCTCTGATACACAAGACTAAAAATCTGCTACATCCCTACTTATTTTATTACGTATTTTTTCCACAAATTCAGATCTTGCTAATGATCTAGATTCATATCAAGATCTGTAAGTATAAAGTCTAAATAAAAAGAGACTCTTTTTTATTTTCATTGATTTTTTGAAAGATTGATTTTCAATCGGTTTGGAAATAACAAACAGATTACTAGTAATCCGTGTAGATCTGGCTAAAGTGCATATCCATATAAATATCAATATATTAGTCCCGCCTCTGCCAGTTAGAACAAGACAATTCGAATCTAAAATCGAAATAGAAAAGATTTGAATGAAATCGTAAGAATATGCATGCTGTACACTTTTTTTCCTGGGATTGTAGTTCAATTGGTCAGAGCACCGCCCTGTCAAGGCGGAAGCTGCGGGTTCGAGCCCCGTCAGTCCCGATGGATAGAAATCCAATAAAAAAATACATCAATTCATTTCTTCTGTGAAAGGGAGTCAAAATAACAAACATAATCTCATTCCTAACAGGGATCTCTCTTTTTTTCTTTTTTTCGTTTCACATTTCTCATCAAACCAATAGGGAAATTTCCATTTCTTCAACTAATACTGATTGATGGAAAAGAAACATATGTGGATTAGCACAATTATTAGTAGCGTTATATTCAGGATTCCAAGAGAAGGAGATACCGTACTACTAGACCTGGCTTTTTCGATTACTCCCGATCTGTGTAATGAAATAGAGTACTATAGAATATGTTTACAGTGAACATACACATACACAAATGGAATTTTCACGATACAAAAAAAAGGAGTTCCTTTGATTTTGATAGAACACTTTAGGATTCAAAGTTTATCCTTTTCTGGCTCCGATTTTTTATAACCTCAAGTACTAAGTACCAATTTCAATTCCTAATTATTTGCATTTTAAACAATGTATCTCATTCAAATTTCACACTTCACTTTTGATATATGTTTATCCTATTACTAATCGAAGGATGAGAATATTAAAAAAAAGGAAAGGAATTTTTGATTGGATCAGAAATCCATTTTAATCCATTTTTGAATTTGGTATGGATAAAAGATCTTCCTATGTTATACTATTCAATTCTTGACGATGAATCGATTTGATAGTTCAGATATTGTTATTCATGATATTGATCCGATTCGATATCATCGAGATGTAATTTATACCAGTGAATTTACCGACGAAAGATTTATCATCTCTATGGGATTAAATCCCGAGTTATTGCGAATTAAAGAGAAATCTAACGATGAGATTATGGAAGTAAATATTCTCGCATTTATTGCTACTGCATTGTTCATTCTAGTTCCTACTGCCTTCTTACTTATAATTTACGTAAAAACGGTAAGTCAAAGTGATTAATTTGACTTAAACTTGACTTCTTAGTTCTTATCAATGCAATGATGGAAGAAAAAATGAAAAAGGATTTCCATTTCGCGTCTTAACTCTTCTCTTAAATGAAATGATCGGACTAGAATCAGCAGTATTCTATGAAATCTGATAGTATGGTAGAAAGAAATAAAATCTATTTCTTTCTACCATACTATCTATTATTGTAGTGTATAAAGTTTTACTCTAGAAAGATAGAGGTTTAATATGAATCGATTTACAATATCTATCTTCATATATATAGAATATCAATCACATATATGTAATGCGCATAGCGTCCCAATTTTTTTTGTTTCATCTATTTGATTTGTATTAGTTCCAATCAATCTGAAATAATCAAAAGGCAACTCTTTTTCTTCCGATTCGAATTTCTAGATTTCTGATTATTTTCAAGACCAATCCCGATATCATATTAAAAAAAATCAAATAATCTTTTTAGCATTCCGAAGAAGTAATTGATTTAAGAAGAAATAATTGATTAAATAGTTAATAGATGATCCAGGGGTTCTATGGGAAACTTTTTCCTATTTCTAAAATATTAGGAAAACCCAACTGATTTTTAACGTTTGAACCATGATATGAAATGAAAACAAAAATCCAATTTCGAAACTCAAATAAATAAAAAACTAAATAATAAAACAAGCGATAAGCACGTAATATGTGACTCGCCTAAGGCAACGGCAATATCTTATTATGTGTAGTATCTCCTTAGACAACTACTATGTCTATTTTGTTTCCTATAGAAAGTGTGTATCCGCGCTTAATAACTAATAAAAAAACGGATTTCTTTTCTCTTTGAAAAAAGTGAAAAAGGGGGGATAAAAAAAGAAATAAAAAACGGGTTCTGCGGTTCCTCATTGTCCATATATAACTTTGGTAAGAGCCAGTTCATCGAAATTTTAGAAAGAATAAAGAATTTGGTTGGAATAAGTTTCCGATTATTTGTATTACCTTGACTTTCAAAATACGAACATGGGAAAAAGTCAAATATTTGTTTAATTGAAAGAGTATTTTCTATTTCTATATTATCCATAGAATACATTATTCCATTCGAATACACTAGAATTCCGAAATGCAGATATTTTTGAATTCCATTTAGAAATTGAATTAATGAATTAAATAGAAAAATAAGATTTCAGAACCCATCTAGAAAACAATGGATACAGTTTGATTTGCGTTTTTTCCCTCAACTCAATTAGTAGTATTTTTAGAGTCCACTTCTTCCCCATACTACGAGGGAAAGAGAAAATGTAAAGACTACCATTAAAGCAGCCCAAGCGAGACTTACTATATCCATGTAAATTATGTCTCCTATTTCTATCAAAATGAAGGAATTATTTCATTTTTGTTATTGTTCACTAATAATAAATAATAGTGGAATCATTGGCACAGAGTCAAAAAGGGATTCTGGCCTAACATCATTGACGAAAGAATCCAATAAATCCAATTATAACATCTAACAAGTTCTTATATGATTTCTAGTATAATCAGAAAACATTAAGTACAAATAAAATATCCGGAGACACCCTTGGCAGTATTAAGGGAATGAATGTTACTAACAGGTAGGAATAATAAGACCTATGCTTTATTTTGTTGCCCTCGATTTCATTAAGTAAAAAAAATATAGAATCAAGATAGATCACTTCGCATACTCTTATTTCCATTTAATCTAATCCTTACCGTCTCCCGATTGTCTCTGTAAAACAATCGGAAGACAGCCGAATAAATTCTTTCACTAGGGGTTGCCGAAAAGAAAGAATTCTTTTTTCTTTTTAATTAAATTTCCATTTTCTAAATATTAATAAATATTTTCATTTTTCAATTTATTAGAATATTAATTCTAATATTCTTTTTGAATAAAAAGGATATAATGATATTTATTTATATATAATTAGAATTTTCTTTTTATTTTAATTTATTCAAAAAAAGAATCTTAGATTCAATATTCTAATAAATGAAAAATGAAAATATTTATTAATATTTAGAAAATGGAAATTTAATTAAAAGAAAAAAGAATTCTTTCTTTTCGGCAACCCCTAGTGAAAGAATTATTCGGCTGTCTTCCGATTGTTTTACAGAGACAATCGGGGAGACGGTAGGATTAGATTTAAATGGAAATAAGAGTATGCGAAGTGATCTATCTTGATTCTATATTTTTTTTACTTAATGAATCGAGGGAAACAAAATAAGCATAGGTCTTATTATCCTACCTGTTAGTAACATTCATTCCCTTAATACTGCCAAGGGTGTCTCCGGATATTTTATTTGTACTATGTTTTCTGATTATACTAGAAATCATATAAGAAATTGTTAGATGTTATAATTGGATTTATTGGATTCTTTCGTCAATGATGTTAGGCCAGAATCCCTTTTGACTCTGTGCCAATGATTCCACTATTATTATTATTAGTGAACAATAACAAAATGAAATAATTCCTTCATTTTGATAGAAATAGGAGACATAATTTACATGGATATAGTAAGTCTCGCTGGGCTGCTTTAATGGTAGTCTTTACATTTTCTCTTTCCCTCGTAGTATGGGGAAGAAGTGGACTCTAAAAATACTACTAATTGAGTTGAGGGAAAAAAACGCAAATCAAACTGTATCCATTGTTTTCTAGATGGGTTCTGAAATCTTATTTTTCTATTTAATCATTAATTCAATTTCTAAATGGAATTCAAAATATCTGCATTTCGGAATTCTAGTGTATTCGAATGGAATAATGTATTCTATGGATAATATAGAAATAGAAAATACTCTTTCAATTAAACAAATATTTGACTTTTTCCCATGTTCGTATTTTGAAAGTCAAGGTAATACAAATAATCGGAAACTTATTCCAACCAAATTCTTTATTCTTTCTAAAATTTCGATGAACTGGCTCTTACCAAAGTTATATTGGACAATGAGGAACCGCAGAACCCGTTTTTTATTTCTTTTTTATCCCCCCTTTTTCACTTTTTTCAAAGAGAAAAGAAATCCGTTTTTTTATTAGTTATTAAGCGCGGATACACACTTTCTATAGGAAACAAAATAGACATAGTAGTTGTCTAAGGAGATACTACACATAATAAGATATTGCCGTTGCCTTAGGCGAGTCACATATTACGTGCTTATCGCTTGTTTTATTATTTAGTTTTTTATTTATTTGAGTTTCGAAATTGGATTTTTGTTTTCATTTCATATCATGGTTCAAACGTTTAAAAATCAGTTGGGTTTTCCTAATATTTTAGAAATAGGAAAAAGTTTCCCATAGAACCCTGGATCATCTATTAACTATTTAATCAATTATTTCTTCTTAAATCAATTACTTCTTCGGAATGCTAAAAAGATTATTTGATTTTTTTAATATGATATCGGGATTGGTCTTGAAAATAATCAGAAATCTAGAAATTCGAATCGGAAGAAAAAGAGTTGCCTTTGATTATTTCAGATTGATTGGAACTAATACAAATCAAATAGATGAAACAAAAAAATTGGGACGCTATGCGCATTACATATATGTGATTGATATTCTATATATATGAAGATAGATATTGTAAATCGATTCATATTAAACCTCTATC